GCCACATAGATGTGACCCCCGCCCACTCGAGTGCGGCGCCCGGATGCTAGTGCTTGTCTGCGGAGATTCTGTCTTAGCACACACAGTGAGTCATTCGGAGTCATTCGATGGCCAGAGTGCGATTGTGTGTGTGCGGGAGTTGGTTTGTCGGGAGGGAGGGGCAGGCTGCTCACCCACGTGCACCGGGCCAGTGCTTGCACTTTGAATGCCGTGGGGCTCTTGTGGAGAGATTTACCTTACCTTACCTTACGGAGGACCGGCGCCGCCAGACGACGGGCAGGGCAGACGCGACGGAGGGAGCAGGACTTTGCGGAGATCAGCAGGAGGCGTTGAGGATGTACGAAGAGATTAAGGGACAGCAGGGTCAGGGTATTAGGGACCCGAGGGACCATGTGCGATGTGGAAAAGACGGCTAGTGCTAGTCCCCCATCGATCGATCGGGAGGACGACCCCCGGCTAGCTAGTCGCCGACCACACCCACGAAGAATCCCCTGCACAAAGATCGCACGGGCGGGGACCTGTGTGTATCTCCGTTTTTATCTATTTAGAACGGCTCGAGGCCGCGGAATCGACCCTATCAAGTGCTCAAGTGCTCAAGACGGCTCCTCCGCTCAATCTCCGATCCAAAATGAACAAACGTTCGTTGCTCCTTCTTTGGGGGTGGGGCACGACGACGGCCTCGCCGTCTCCTTTGGCCTCTGCGAGCTACACGACAGCTCGCCGACAGACAGGAGAGAGGAAGTCGCCGACTATCTATGAAGACTGGCGTGGAATCTGGTGCGCCTGCAGTGCCTCCAAACCAGAACGACGTGGAGGCTGGTGCGCATTGCCTCCCACTTGCGTGCGATGCGGCGCCTCCACACGTCCAGACCAAGTGCCGGTCGATCCCTTCGCTGGCGCAGCTCGTCGCTCAGCAGACTACGAATCGCACGCTCCCGGAGATCGAGCCGCTCGAGGTCCATAAGCAGGTGGGAACGGACAGGCTCGGCGTCTGGGTCTGGCGAGCGCTGCTCCTGCTCTGCACTGCGACCTGGGGATCAAATTATCCGTTGACAGAGAACGTCTTTATCGCGCTCGGTCCGTCGGCTACGCACACCTCGCTCTTCCTCGCGGCCCGCTTTCTGCTCAGCGCCATCGTGCTCGCACCCGCAGCGCTGTCTGCGTCCAGCTGGGCTGCCGTGACGGCGGGCGGCAGAGTCGGGGTGCTCTGTGCGATCGGCTACCTCTCTCAGGCGGCGGCACTCGCGATGGGCTCGCAGGCCGGGCAAAGCGCCTTCATCTGCAGCTTGCAGGCAGTTGTGATTGCCTTGCACTCCGCCCTCGCCGGCAACGGGATCTCGCGCAAGACCGCAGTCGCTGTCGCCCTGGCTGTGTGCGGCGTTGGCTTTCTGGAGCTGCCTTCCATCATCGAGGGCGGGCTCAGCGCCCTCTGCCTCGGAGACCTCGTGGCGCTCGGGCAGCCGATTGGCTTTGGAGCGTCGTACATCGTCATCGAACAGGCGCTCAAGGACCACCCAAACGACGCGCTGCCCCTCGCTGCGATGCAATGCGTCCTCGTCGGCGCTGCCACCCTCGGCATCGCCTCTGCCACCGCTGGCGCAGCGCCGTGGGACCTTCCGTTTGGCAAGCTTCTGCTACCAAAGGCGGACGCGTCATCATTCTTCGAGGCGTGGGCCGTGCCAGCCACCGTCGCCTACACCGGGATCTGGGGCACGGCGGCGACGATCTGGATCGAGGCTACCGTCCTCAAGAGGCTCCCCATCGTCGACGCCTCTGTCATCCTCAGCACCGAGCCGCTGTGGGCGACGGGCCTGGCGGCGCTGATGCTGGGCGAGGTGATTGGAGTCAACGACGTCATCGGCGGCGCATTCATAATCATCGCTCTGCTTGTCAACGAGGGGTTGCTCCACCTGCCCGGGCAAGGGGAGGAGGAGAGGGCATCGTCCTCCTCTAGGCTCACACGCCAGGCCGTCTGCAGTGCGGCTGCTTGATGCGGGCACTGCGTGAGACGCGCGGCTCTGACGGGCACAGGTGTCTAGTAATACAGGGAGTGCTTGTGCTGAGGCCCACACAGACAGGTCAACGAGTTCATCACTTGCAGTAAGAGAGTTACGTAAGAAAACTCTCGTCTGAGAGTGTGACGAGCAAGTTGTAAACTCCCACACAGCACGCTGTGAATATTCCGGGCCCGGTTCATCCCCCCCATCCGCATCCCGAGTGTGGAGTGAATACCCCCCCCCCCCGC